GGGGGCGGTACTCCCCCTCTCCCGCCCGCTGCCCCCCGGTTACCCTGGAGACGAGCGGCCCTGTTGCCTCAGCGTTTTCCTTTAGGCACGTTAATCTCCGCTGGTTTGGGGAGGGGAGAGGGGGACAGGGGTGTGAGGCGGTGGGTGTTAGCGTGAGAGGGCTGAGGCACGGCGAGGGGGCGCGGGCCTGCCGCGGCGGCCTGGCTTTCCTCTGGGCCCGAGGCAGAGGCGCCGTGGAAGCGTGGGACCTGGAACGGAAAGTGGGGGGAAGAATCACGGCATCATGGAATTGTCAGAGTTGGAAGGGACCTCTAGAGATCAACCCCCCAACCCTCCAACCCCCCTGCCAAAGCAGGGTTGCCCAGAGCACATCACTCAGGAGCATCCAGGTGGGGCTTGAAGATCTCCAGAGAAGGGGACTCCACACCCTCCCTGGGCAGCCTCTGCCAGGGCTCTGCCACCCTCACCCCAAACAAGTTCTTCCTCACATTGGAGTGGAACTTCCCATGGTCCAGCTTGTGCCCGTTGCCCCTTGTCCTGTCACTGGGAACCACTGAGAAGAGTCCGGCTCCATCCTCCCTCAACCCACCCTTTAGGTACTTGTAAACATAGATGAGGTCTCCCCTCAGCCTTCTCTTCTCCAGGCTCAAGAGCCCCAGCTCTCTCAGCCTTTCTTCATCAGGGAGATGCTCCAATCCCTCCATCATCTCTGTTGCTCTGCGCTGGACTCTCTCCAGCAGTTCCCTGTCTCTCTTGAACTGGGGAGCCCAGAACTGGAGGCAGGATTCCAGTTGTGGCCTCCCCAGTGCAGAGCAGAGGGGGAGAATGACCTCCCTCCACCTCCTGGCCACACTCTTCCCTGCACAGCCCAGGATCCCACTGGCCTCTTGGCCACGAGGGCACATTGCTGGCTCATGGAGAGTTTACTGTCCACCAGGACCCCCAGATCCTTCTCCTCAGAAGCGCTTTCCAGCCCCTGCTCCCTTCGACAGGTGTGGAAAAGTGAAGCAGCAGTGTTCCGCCAAGACAGATGATACAGCACATTATTATGTCTGTGAATAGGCTTGTTTCTGCTCTTGGACTCAACAAGTAGGTTGCAAGTGCTCTGTAAAAATTTTTACTTAAAACCATCGTTCTGGTTCCTTCGCTAGCACTGAAGTACACAGCCAGGGACAAATGAGTCAGTGCCAAACCAGCAGAACAAAAAGATGACAGGTTAATTGCTTTCAAAAGCAGCATTTTCAGATCATAAATCTGAAACCTTACAGGTTTTCCTCTCAAAACAGGAAGCAGGATAACAGAAATACAACCAGGAACTGTGTAACTTGCTGGTATCCTGACTTCAAAACCCTTTGATGCCTGAACCACACAGCACTGAATTTGGTTGCATGCAGGGACCTTTGTCCAGGATTTCATTCCTTCAGCCCAGGATCCCACTGGCCTCTTGGCCACAAGGGCACATTGCTGGCTCATGAATAGTTTACTATCCACTAGGACCCTCAGGTTCTTCTCCTCAGAAGCGCTTTCCAGCAGGTCCACCCCTAACCTGTATTGGTGTCTGGCATACAGTCTACACTGTCAGACTACCTTCAGCAAAAAACCCAATAACTTGCATGATACTCTGACAATTTTTAATATTTAGAGGTAAGATCATCAGACCAAAAACATCTGTTAAAGATGAGGAGAACGTTTGTGCTATTACAAGGCATCGTGTTTTCAAAACTGTTTCCAGACACAAACTGTATAAGCAGTACAATTCAGTTTGCATTTTATGACTGCTATTGCACAGTGCTTTGAGGTTGGGTTTGGGGTTTTCTGGGGAAAGGAGGAGAAAGGATCAAACATTTTAAACATGAATTTCAGAAAGTAGGAGGGAAAACACCATACTTGGGAAAATAGCTCCAGGCAGGGATGAGAAAACCTCTTATCAATGAAGTCCAGATCGATTATGCCATGCCTCTGTGGTTATTACAGAGCAATCTTAAACTCCAGACGCAGTAGAGGCATGGTTTGAGTCCTCGATGTCATTCTACCAGTGGGAAAGGGAGAGCTTCTTACACAGTGATGAGTAATCCCAAGCCCTGGCCAACCTGTCTGAGTTGCACAGAAAATCTTTCCCCCCTGTTTAAAAGGATTTCATCTCCATCTGTGCTCACCATGACTAATTTGTGTCCTTGAAGGATGGCCGTTCTGGGTCCGGGGATGCCCAGGCTTTTCCCCTTGGACTTAGATTAGGGTAGCTAGGAATAGCTGCTACTTAATGAGGTGTACGCAGACTTCTGCTGGCAAAAACCCCCACATAAGCCTACATATTCTTCACTGCAGGTTAGAAACCAGTTTTCTCTTACATGGAGGTGATGGCAAACCAGCAGGACAGGGATTTCTGCTCCGATCAATCTCTAAGAAGTGGACCTGATAATTGGCCATCCACTGTGAAGGAAAATACAACGAGCAGTTCTAGGTGTATTACTTCCCCTACCAAACCTTTATTTTTCTTGGCCATATAGTGTTACGGATGGATTATAATGATGCCACCTACAGACGTGCAGAAAACAGACTCCACAACCTGTAAGGTTGTAAAGTAGGTATGTTTATTCAACACTGGGCAGCACGAGGGTCACCCCACCACAATCGTGCGCACCACCCATGGCATTTCTTTTGAACTTATACCACGAAGGGTTACATATTTATGAAACAGCTATGCATATTCATAACCTCCTCCCAAAAAGGTGGCCTTTATTATAATGAGTTCTGAGAAATCATTTCCATAGTCTCCGCCTTTAACTCCTCCCAGCTGCGCACGCGTGGTGTCTCCTGGTGGTTGTGGGCCGGGGTCTCAGAGATTTCATTGAATTTCACCGAATTTCACTGAATTTCACTGAATTTTTAGAGTTGGAAGGGACCATAGAGATCATCTAGTCCAACTCCCCTGCTAAAGCAGGACCACCCAGAGCTTGTCAGAGCATATTACTCAGGACTGCAGCCAGGCAGGTCTTGAAAATCTCCAAGGAAGGGGACTCCACACCCTCCCTGGGCAGCCTCTTCCAGGGCTCTGCCACCCTCACCGTGAAAAAGTTCTTCCTCATATTTGAGTGGAACCTCTTATGTCCCAACTTGTGCCCATTGCCCCTCGTCCTCTCAGTGGGAACCACTGAAAAGAGTCTGGTTCCCTCCTCCCTCAGCCCGCCCTTGAGATACTTGTAGGCGTTGATAAGGTCTCCCCTCAGCCTTCTCTTCTCCAGACTGAAGAGTCCCAGCTCCTTCAGCCTCTCCTCATAAGGGAGATGTTCCAGTCCTTGAATCATCTTTGTAGCCCTATGCTGGACTCTTTCCAGTAGTTCCCTGTCCCTCTTGAACTGAGGAGCCCAGAACTGGCCTATGTCTTCCTCACTGTGCGCTTTTCACCTTCACCACAAAACTTGCTCAGGCCGGTTCTTAATTAGCAGAGGATGTGCATCTCTCCTGTTCTTTCTGATAAGTTTCTTCACTTGTGTGCATCCCTTCTAATTTACTACGTCCTTATCTCGGCGTTAGTTACAAAGTGCAAGCAAAACATATGCTAGCAAAGCGAAGGTCATCATGACCGTTCCTTCTCCTAGTCCTTGCTCGAACATTTTACACAATGGAAACTAAGCAATGGTGTTAGTTCTCCTCTATCAATCTGCTATTTCCCTTAAGTGTTAGTTCTCCTCTATCATTACAATAAAATACAACTGTGAATGTAATTACTGGAGATAGCGAATTACAAGAGCTCTTGATCAATGCCCTCATCGGTATTGGAAGTGACTGCTGATTTGTTTGCTTTTTTTCCTGCCAACAGCTTGACTGCAAGACATTTTGAGGTGAAGAAATAAAGGAGCAACCTAGTGTCTTTCACAGAGGGACTGCTCTCAGCCGTGGCTCTATCAGTCTGTGATATGACACAGCGCAACAGAATCACAGAATCTTCATGGTTGGAAGGGACCTTTGAAATCATCAAGTCCAACCACCCCCAAAAAAACCCCCAAAAACCAAAACACAAAAAAACACACACCAGAAAAACCCTCATAAACAGACACAACCCAACAATCTCGGGCACTAGAGCATGCCCTCAAGTGCCATGTCTACACGTTTCTTAAATCCCTCCAGGGATGGTGACTCCACCA